ACACGCAGTTATGGGGGTGGGGTCTGGACAACAATGTGGATCACATCAACTGACTGCTGAAAAAACTTAATTGGTTCAAAACATGCAATACAGACAAATTATTCATGGGTTTCAGATTCTAGTTATATACAGCGTTTTGAGGACTTTTTCCACATTCAAAAGATACAAGACTTTGTTTTAAATTGTTAATTGCTCTGGATTAACACTGATTAATGTTATAGATCTAACCAAATAAATATTGCACAAAATTACATCAATAATCACCCAGCCCCATTAGTTTATATACCTGGCTGGCAGTCTGGCACAGGAAAGTGCTTGGTTACATTCCCAGTGCAAAATGTTATAATTTCAAGTAACAATCCCAGAAAATACATTGTGTTTTAAAATTAAATGTATTACTTTTGTAATGTCTAATGTCTTTCTACGTTTCCAGGCAAGGAACAACAAATTGAAATTAAATTGCTGTAATCAGTAGATTAAAAAGGTTACTGCCCCTGTCAAGTAAATAGATAAACTACTGGATAACTAGAAAGATGACAAGATAAAAAGAAAAGTCAGAAAGATAAGGGTGCACTAAAAGTAAATAGCTTCCCTCTGATGCTAGGATTTTCCTGAAAATCAGAATACAAATCTCAGTGAGACTATCCTGGTTAAATAAATAATAATCAACCAGTCTATAGTAATTTCATGCTTAATAGGACCATTTGGAGATCACCGACCAACACTGGCAACAATGCTTAACCACACAAATAAAAATTATAATCTTTTTCTGTGGCAGTTGCTCCATCCAAGTAAAAAAACAGAACTTTCCTATGCTTTTTATGCCCATTAACAAAGACATTTTAACCAGGGGTCATGACTGGTAAAGATACATTAAACCACAACAAACAGTGGCCTGCATGTTTCCATTAAAAACATATAGAGGTAAAAAGGTGCTGTGTACTTCCTAAACATGAGCACTCATCCGCACACAGTAATGCTGGTTTTACTACTTTGGCCTGTGATTTAATGGGACAGAGGGTCGTCCCACACATTCACTGGGAGATTTGTTGACAAGTGTCTGAAGAGAAAACACACGTGTTCAACAGCTAACACTAACATGGTAACAATATGGCAGCAAAACTCAAGGAACAGCCCATACAAGAGTTGTCTATTGTTTAACAAACTGCTTTACTACTTGACAGATGAAACCAAGAACAAGGAGAGTTCTGAATAATACATACAACTCTGCTGCCCAAGGAATTTTCAACCTAATTTAAATAGGCAATTTGCATAATGTCAATGAATAGTTTTTGCTGCACTTCCAATTTTGAGAGACAAAGTTGAGACAAGGACAAGGACCTTTGAGGCCACTGTAACCATAATTACTGGCAGTGCTTTTCAAAACATGTTACTTGCTCTATGTGCAATACTCTGCCTTAACTTGCTGATTACCCAGTCTTTACAAAATATAGAGGAATTGTGGTAGACCCTCATGGTTAAGAACAGGCTGAGTACCAGATGATTTTCATGTAAATATAACAATTCACAATATACAGGAAAAAAAAAAAAAAAAAAAAAAAAAAAAACAGCTCAAAAATAAGATCATTGTGTGCGGTCAGTATGTAGTTATAAAGCATTTTTGTCATCTACAAACCAGGAAGTGGGCTGTTAGCATGCTAGTTTTGTTAGCAGTGGCATGATGGTCACTGAAAGTTGTAAAACATGCTTACAAACTTACTGCAGTGAATAAGCGGATGTTAGAAATGTGTTAGGAAAGTCAGGAATAAGTTGTGAGTGCTGCAAAGCATTTTAAATAAATTGGTTCTGTTTTTCATATTTTTAAGACAGTAAGAATCAGGTATGTACTGTGACGTACTGTGAAAGTATTCAGAGAATGAGAAAATGCTGGTATGAATTCAGTAACCAATTGTTTACTGTACTTATAACTTCCTACATGAATGCTTCAGTGCAAATATTGCCAACTGAGGTATCTGAAGCAAACTGAAAAACAAACATGCCAGTGGCATGTTTGTTGCTTATTTAAAGACTTCAGTAGTGGCATGATGCCACTACTGAAGTCTTTAAATAAGCAACAGTAGACAAGTCAGATTATAGAAAGCAAAATATGACAAATTTCCTGCGAGGTCATTAAACGTTCCTGGAACTGTAAATATGTTTTTTTGTGGGGTTTTTTCATGGCTGATACTGATTGCCTAGAATCCAGAGAAAACAATGGCCGATAAGGTCTCACAATATTTTTGGGCTGGCACGTAGTGCAGATTTTGACTTTTTTTTTTCCAAATATTTCAATTTTATGCAATTTAGACAGTTGGTTGACTCAAACAAAATATCGGCATCTGCTGGAAATTAATTAAATTAAATTAAAACCAATACGCAAAAAAATTGCAAATATGCCAAACATGTTGGTCTGTCTCTAAGACTCAAATTATCAATCAAATTGTTCAAAGCTTTGGTGACTAGGGGCTATCATGATAAAAGGCTTGAGGAACTGGGGAGATGGTGGGTAGAGAGTACAAGTAAGAGAGCGCTTACCTAATCAATAAGCTTTTAGACAAGGAAAGAAAAGAAGACTGCTGTACTATACCTTCTATGTCAACAAGTAAAGACACAACACTTCCTCCACTTAACAGGACCGTTTTTTCTTACCACGCAACATGAAAAATCAGGCACTAAAATATTGCTACGATAAATAATTAAAATGCATGTCAATGATGCAGCAAAGTATCCTTAAAGCCAGTCTTTAAAAAAAAAACAACAAAAAAACAACAAAAAAACAGCCAAATTGGGTTTCACAAAAATCACACTGTTACCTCTTGCATTATTATTAAGGATGCATTTGATCAAATTATCTTAATAGTCTGGAGAATTAACGATCGATTTTTGATTAATCATCAATGTTTTTATATTAAAATTAGTATCATTATTAGTACTATTACTAATCCACAGAAATAAACTCAACTTTACAACATATAAACCATAACCACTATAGAGCGACATTGGCCCGTTTGAGATTATAATGTGTTTACTATAGCTTTGAGCATATTGTTTACGTCTGACAGAAACTAAACTTAAACCGCATGGCTAATTTGCATAAACTATAAGGGCTGAAAAATGCAGCCCTTTCCTTGTGCAGTGATGCAGTCAGCTTCTGTTGCAGCTGCAGTAACCAGGATACTGTGTATACATGCTAAAAAATCCCAATAACCGGGATACTTGTGCATGTACGTATACGCACTCATTGAGTGGTATAGTGATCTCCAAGGAGGTGTGCCATAGCCCAAATGTGGGACTGTGAGGACGTATCTCCATTGTTCGTACTGTCAGATGCAACCTCGTCTCCTTACGCTTTCCTACATACAGCAACCTACATTTGGTTTGTCGATTAAAAATTAACATGATTGATGAAATTCTTAATGATCAATTATCGATGCCCATGCCCATCCCTAATTATTATATAAAACTATTTATTCAAAACTCCCAAACTATTCAGGAAATGTCAAATTTGGTCTTGTTTATATGATATTTTTAGTAGTTTAATACCTGTTCGAATGAGTATTGAGCTTCAATAATACTAGTTTCAATACTGATCAGTATGCAGGCATGTCACGCAAACAAATTTTGAAGATACGTTGTTGGAAGAAATTACCTAAAGCACAACTTTTCCCAGACAACTATACTAAAAGTACTTCAATAAATAAATAGCAGAATGAAACACTTTAGTAATTTAGTCATTTTGTATCTATGATGAGTCATGAAGTTATTTATTCAGCCCTTTTCAGCTCAAATCTTAACACAGAACAGAAACATAAAAGAAATGCCCATTCATACAACGAAAAAGTAACCAAGATGTATATTGACCCCCAAAAATTATTGTTCCATCTGTCATATAGTTATGTCTTTCATAAAGAAGTTTAAATGTTTAACTCTGGACAGATACATGAAATATGATAGTTTGTGCTGTAGAACTTTGTTTTTCTGTTACTGATTAGTTTGTTTCCTCCTGCTGTATTTATGAAGATGAACTGCTGTCAAGATGACGCTCTGACAAAGGAATAAAGGGTAGGCATAATAAGCTTAAGCTTCAGCCTGCACCTTTTCGGTCTGTATATGTTAAATATGACTGTTTATGAATTAATGTCAAGATATACCTGTGACCGAAATAAATAAATAAATAAAATAAATAATAAATAAATAATAAAAATATATTGAACGATAAGACAATATAGTAATTATGACAGGTCTATTATAATATGTGATTTTTGATACTTTTGACAACCATACATCATAGTTTGCTCAGAATGTGTGGGAAACACTGAACCCAATTTATGGTCATGCGTCAACTCGTCTAAGTCACAACACAGAGTCTGAGTCGCATTGAGCCCCCTCCGCAAAGCATCTGCGTCAACCTACATGAACCTCAGAAATTTTCTAACTATGCATCGAACCGACGCAGACAGTAAGGGAAAGAGACACAGACAATAAGGGCTGTGATTGGTCCTCTCTACATACATTTCCGTAACTCTGCTTTCCCCCTTCATTTTGTATACATGAACGCCTAGCATTGTGGAGATGAATTACTTCATGGCGCATAGACCTCGACGCAGATCCATAAATCAAAAACAACGGCGACAAGACGATGGCGGCAGTGTGCAAACTGTAATTTAGCCTTGAGTCACCTCCAGCTGAGGCCTGCACAGTGTCTCATCACATACCACAGACAGCAACTGGTACCAGCAGCATACAACAATCTGATAAGAAACTTAGAAACAAGAATTATATAGATTTTATCTGGACACTGATTTTCTACTCTTTTCAACTCTGCTGCTAAGTTATCTAAATGCGCTGTTTTGAATTTGAATTGCAAAAAGTTCATCTTGATAAACTTGTTCACACTCTGTTAATACCATTAGATACTGTAAACCATTTCCTTGTGTGGTTAAAATGTGCAGTGAGGCTCAGCCATTGTGTGCATTTCAAAGTGTTGATAAAGTTCTTACCCTTCCTCTTCTCCATCTACGGTCTTGGTGGCAGATGTTAAGGCACTGGCAGCAGCGTTGCCCTCAGCCTCTTGTCCCGCAGTAGCGCCCCCTGCCTCTGTCCCTGGGACCTTGGGCAGTCCCAGCAGAGCAGACTGGTGTTGGAGAAGGAGTCTCTGGGCATCCTGGAGCTGGGTGGTTGTAAAGGACGGCAGGCTAGCATATAGGGCAGCTTGGGCGATGCTGGGATCCTGGGTAAGCCTCCCCCCGGCACTGACTGTCAGAGCAGCAGTTTGGGGGTCATTCTTATGGTTGTGGGGAGGAACACTTGTGGCTGACAGTGGGCCCATGCTCGGTGTCTGGATCTGTGTTGGAAGAGACTGTGGCTTCTGCTGTGGGCCGTCCAGGTGAGACTGCCCGACATGAGTGGGCACTGAAGGGGCCTGGAGGGGAGTGGGCTGAGGAGCACCCACTATCTGACTGTTACCTGAACCCACCACATTAGAGATAGGTTGGGTGTACTCAGGTCTCCCCTGCCCTGGGGTGGCCTGCTGTGGGACAGGGTAATTCACTTTCTGTGGTTGAACTGGGACAGGGCCAGGGCCGGTGGGCTGACTTGCCACTGCCTGAGCGTAGGTGAGTTGTTGGGACTGGAGTCCGGTCATAGACGTAGGGAGGTGGACGTTCGTCTGGGCCACACTGGTCTTCACCTGGGACAGAGGGTCCTGGGCATACATGTGGTTCACAGCTGCAGGGGCGACAGGCTGAAAACCCGCAGGGAGCGAGGCATAGTCCTGGGGGTGCTGTGTGGATTCCCCACTGCACACACTGTCAGTGTAATGGCTCAAAGTGCTCACACTGCTGCTAACAGAACTGCCACTGGTGGTCTCACGATCTGAGGGGCCAGCAAAGCTCTCGGTCACATACTGACGCACACCAACTGAGCTGCTGTCAGAGGCAGAGGAGCTGGGTGCAGAGGCAGGGGTTTCCTTATCATAAAACTCTGTACAAGTCCATCTGCCCTTCCTAAAGGGCTCTGAGCTGGAGTCCAGCTTCACCACCCTGAAGCGAGAGCTGGTGGTGCCCACGGCCGGGGCAGGGTGGGTGGCTGGGGCTGATTGTTGGGGTGCAGCAGTGTGGGGGGTACTGACAGGGGGCACAGCAGCAGCTCTGGTCCCAATCCCTCCTGAGGCACTGGTTGCAGCAGCAGAACTCGAAGGAGTCATTGTTATGTTGGAGTTTTGGTTGGTTTGTTGTTGAATAATGGTGGCATGAGTACTAGTTGTAAGGTTACCTCCACTGCCCCCACTGCTGCTTATCACATTGAGAGGAAAACCAGACGTGCTACTGCTAGCGCTTGTGCTAATTCCTCCTCTCACAGGCACATTGGCAGAGCTCAACATATTCACATTACTAACACTGCTGCTCTGGGGATTAACTATGCTAACTGCAGTGCCCACAGCAGAGCTCTGCATTCCAGCCACACTTCCTGGGGCCGCAACCCCCACACCTGGAGGGGCAGCCTGGGAAACACTCTCCTGAGCAGGCCCCACATTTGAAGGCATTTTCAGGGTGACGTTGGGTAAAGCTCCAGCAGCTGGGGGATTCCCAGCATAGGCCTGGGTTTGGTTAGGATGGTGTTGTTGATGATGATGGTGATGATGGTGGTGGTGATGTACGGTCCCATTTACCATGGCTCCACTGTGTGCCGAAGTTTGGAGCAAGGAGTGGGGGTGGGCCGGTTGGTTCGGGGATACAGCTCCTGGGGTGTCTGCTTCATGGAAGTTATTCAGAGTCTCCTCAGAGGAACTCCTCTCAGCTCCGACAACATCATTGGCCCGGGAAAGAGACGCATCCAGGATTTCAGAGGAGGAAAGATCCTCTGTGTGAGACTCATCCAAGTCGTCATAACTTTCTGTGTCTTCTGCAATACTGTTGTTAGTACTCACAGAGACCTGAGCTGGGGTCACGCTCGTGATTTGAAAACCACTCTTCTTCTTGGTCAGAGCCCCGGTGGCCTGGGCGGGCTGGGCCTGGGAGAGCAGGTTCAGGCTTTGGGGTGGAGGGTGGTGTGGACCCGGGGAAGAGGAGCCTGCGGGCGGCTGACACTGAATCAACAGGGCGGGCTGATACTCATCCGCTGTGACGTGGCTATTATTGACCACGGCGTTTGCAGGTGGTGACAGCACTGTGCCGCTCCCGCTGCCCGTGTTACTACCCCTCCGATGGAAGACGGCCTGATGCGCCATCTTCCTGCCACTGCCAGAGTCTGCGGCGGGCTCCGGATGATGCATTTGGAGATGATCCGGGGGTTTGTCGGTCTCTGACAGTATGCAGTAAACTTAGAGTTCGTTGAGGGCGCCGTTTTGACACAACTACGTTTGGACAGCACAATCAAAAATAAAATATCGGAGCAAATGTTGTGCGACTCTTTTCAATATCTTGTCAGTGGTGCTGATTTCAGCCTCCCATGCACAGCCCGCTGTTGTGCGTTAGCTTCAGAAGCGACAGAGGCTAGTGACGGATGGCTGAACAGCTAAAGCTAAAGTCAGCTGATGCCTGGGAAGTTTCCCGGTGTTAACCGATCAAACGATTTAATCAAGCGCTAACATGTTGATGGTTTCATAAAGACAACTTGTAAGATCCCTTCGTACTGTTACGGAGAAGCTGCTGAGTAAGTCAGCGCTGAATTTAGGTGCTAGCCGGATAGAGGAGTCACCGGCTAGCAGCTAAACACTGACTGCTGTATGTTTTCACTGCTCGATGTCTTCAAATAAAGAGAAAATCAAAACCATCCACCTTATATCCGATGCACAGTTCCATAAAGTATCAAATGGCCTCCAAGCGCCGTCGTGAAAAAGCTTTAATCCATCCCAGTGAGTCCTGGTGGTGGTGTGGGTTTTGCTGTATCACTGGTCCTCCCGATAGCGCTGTTCAGTGTAGCCTGTGCCGCTGCTGTGCTCCGCTGTGACGGGACTGGAGGGGAGGGTGCTCCGTAACATGGCGACCGCGCATGGTCCGTGCGCCAGACATAAAGCAGTCTGAGGAGGAGGCGAGTCAACACGGCGGAAAGGGACGGAAAATGCCGAGTGAAGGCGCTCCCCCGAAATACACTTTCAGACATAAGGTGTACTTTGCTTTGCATTTTTGACTCTTAATTGTCAAACGTTATGGCATTAATCTGTGGCACACCCCACTTCATATCCTTTCTGCTTAACATGCGTAAGATAAAAAATAAAAAGTACCTATACTGTGTGATCAGTTTCGGAATGTGGACATTATTCACTGCCAAGCTTTGGTTAACCCCTAAAATTATTAAGTGATTAAAGTTAAGATAGATTATTATTTTGAAATTTAATTTTTATAAAATGAATATGTAAATTGTGTATGTGGAAACAAATTGACCTGTGATACTGTCTCCTTCTGATCATGAACCACACTGACCTGCCACTGTGTTTGTGCACACAGCAGCACAGAGGGCTGCTAGATCTCTCTGCAGACAGGAGTAAACCAGTGAAGGATTATTCTACACAGTCACTGTTTGGGGCCTCAGTCCAAAGCACATGTACATCACCCATGCTGTTATGTGTTGCCACTAGCGGTCACTGAACTCTGATGCCTAAATAGGCATCTTCATTTCAGCTGTCTGGTGTTTTCTGTTGCCATTCAAAACCTCAATGTATTCCATCTTATCTTCTAACAATGGTGTGGCACATTAATTAAGGAAGAACACACAAAGGTTACTTTTTCCTATTTTTTTTTTATCCTGAAGGCTTTTTTGGGAGTATCTACAAAATAAAGTTATGCTATGTAGATAAGATAACACTTATTGTCACCTTATTGGTCCAGAAAAAAAAATTATAGTCTAATATTATGGACCTAATGATGATTTCTTGGAAAGGCTATAATAAAAGCATGTAAAAAGACGATCTTTTACAATTCACCTTGGATTCATTGTTATAAATAATAATAAATAATTGCGCATTCCTATCAAGACTATCTCAAAATAACAAGGCAAACTGGAAACCCACTATCAGGGAATCCATGCAGTTGTGAAGTGAGAGAAGTGCGAAATCTATTGAATCTCAGAATAGCAGCAGCAGGAGGAGGAGCTGTGTCCACCAGTGCTGTGTGGATGAGACAGATGAGCTCTCTGCAGTGTAAGCGTCTCAGGCTGTCAGCAGATGTAACTCACACTTCACTGAGAGGAGCAGTGTAGTCACAAATTATAGTCTGTACTCAAGTAAAAGTACTGGTTCTAGTTGTACGTTAAGCAATACTTACTTCAGAGTATAAGTAACACAGCCAGCTGTTGAGACCAAATGTATGTAACATCTGACTTATGAATTACATGTATTGTACAAACAGAAAAAAAAAAAAACATTAAATATTGAATATTAAATTCAGGTATTCTGAAAACAAACAAATATTCCGGTGATGTAAGCCTATTATCAATGTAAATTTTTTATAGACTGAATGATACTCTAGTAAAACTTCAAAATAATATTACTAGAATTTTTTTTAACATACAAGAATACTCCATATTGACTACAGTAAATAGTAGTCTGAGTGAATGAAAATAATTGTGTGGGGCAATACACATGTTCTGTTGTGCCACTACCCTTTCAGACTGTATAAAAATATGATTATAGACTATACTGTAAATGTAATTATACATAATCCCATCGGCTCCTATAGTACATTGAAAATATCCAGATGTCCAGGGAAAATGACTCTACAATACGCAGCTCTGTTGAGTGTAACCACAAGCATATACACATGGAACAGCTCTATCTCAGATTACACATGTCACACTGTGGAGTGTCCGACAAGACAGGTACAGTGTCAATGATAACACACTCTAAGGTGACAAACACATGGGTTTTGAGGTTAGGTGAATTTTAAACTTTATATTGTGAGTTTAAAATAACATTTATAAAACTATCTTGAAGTAAAATTTATCAATGGAAACATACAGTAGAATGTGTAACCAACTACTATTTATGACCATTATATTATATTATAATTATAACATGATATTATTACCAAAAAAGGACTTCTCAAACATGTCTAAAACCAGAACCAACTAAATAACAATAATAATTGCCTTTTAGGACATCATCGATTCACTTTGCATTATTCATTCACTTAATGCATGGTGGTGGTAAGATTCTTCTGTAGCCACAACTGCCTTGGGGCAAATTGATGGAAGCAAGGTTGTTCCACCACCTCTTCACCACCTTCACACACCACATTCATATTATGAAAGGTTCGTGAAGTGTCTTGCCTAAGGACAAGTCACTGCTCAACACAACTGGGGCTTTTATGGATTGCTATAATAAAAGTAATCATGTAATGATTTCTGATCATTATGTGATACATTTTGGTGAAGACTGCTGCAGTTTAGGTTGTGCAAATTGTTTGGTAGAATAATATGTTGATGCAGAATAAAAGAGAAAAGACTTGAAACAGCAAAGCCACATTTGTAGCCCAAATCCTGCTAACTCAGTGATGCCGTACAGTAGTCTGCAGGGCTTGTGTCTACTGTGCTGTCTTATTTATATTGGCCAGCCCCCCTCTCAACAGAAACAATACACTGTGATACTAAATATCGTGGCCAACTGCATTCATTCATGAGGTTCTCTTCCCACAGATTTTACTGCTGTTGAACTGCTGTAATTTTCATAAGGCAACACTTTAGAGTCTCAAAACCAGTTTTGTATTCATTGAGTCCTTGACAGAACACAATGTATCAAGCATATTCAATACTGTCATTTCCATACAATGTGAACTTCAAAATGTCCGATTTTCATTCTTCATTTTTTTATGTGACAAAGGTGCATCTGGTGCAATGTTCAATAACTCAGGATCACATTTCTACATAGCAACCAGTAAACAATCAATTGATATTTAGAATTATAGCCTAATATTTTATTTGTGACAGGAAAATGAGGATTTTTTTTTGAGATCTTTTATGAAGGTTCATTATGTAACTTTACTGATGGGTGGTTGTTTGCTATTTTCTTGTTTCCATGGAGATGTTAATGCTTTGCCTTGATGATCCAATTCCATCTGATTTAAAAACTTTTTTTTTTTTTTTACTATGTACGGCCTTTAAATTCATAATCTAAAGGCAACATCTTGTAAGTAGTAAGTCCATAGAGTCAGACCTCTATAACATGGGAGCATAAATATCCCCTATACCTCATACATTTGCATGTAACCTTTGCGTGTGTTTTTGCTTGGGTTAGTACTGAATAAGGGTTTCACAAGTGTTCAAATAACAAGACCTTACGCAGTCTTTTGAGAATGTAACTTAGTATTTCTCCTGTCAAAACAAATGTCATGTGTGGTTATGAGTAATGAGTAAAAAAAAAGTAATTTGAAAGTCTATGTTGGAAAAAAATAGGCATATTTTAAATTCTGATCCTATACATTAATTTGAAGTAGGCTAACTAAAAATGCATGCACAAGAGATGCATTTTTATTATTAAGGTACGATAGGGTGCAAATAAGAATAGAAAATGTACAATGTTTACTTTTTTATTGTCTGTTGAGTATACATATGCCTACTTCATTTGAAGTTCTTACAGGTGACATTTTGAGTAAATGTCCACTGTTGTAAATATATAAATCTGTTTATTTGTTTCCTTCACTTTCTCCATTATGCAGAAACATGCAGTCAGCACAATGAATTAATCACATTGTAATCTTATAGGCACATGGTTGACTGGTGAGTGAAAGTGAAACATGAGAACTCAACTGAGTGGTAATACAGTATTTAATAATGAAGGAGAGGTTAGAGGAAGCTTCCTGGATTAAATAGGTTTAGATTACGAGACTATAGGGAAAGCAACAGGAAATAACATCTGAACTCAAACTAATTGGACCTTATAATAAGAATAGGCTCAAGCATTCACAGAAAAAAAAAAGTTTTTGATACTTGCCCTACACTGCAAATCATGATTATAGCACTCCCGTGTGGTTACTGTGGGAATACAATACTGCTTCAAATCAAAAGTATAAAATCATTAAAGGTTGTTAAAAATGTGATTAAAAAAAAAAAAAAAAAAAAAAAGAAGAAAGAAGATGCTACCAAAATAGAAAAACCTAAATCTTTATATTCGCAAATGATCACTTACAGTTTTTAGGCTATGTAGAAAATAGCCTAGTGACATGTTTTTTATATTTGACGTCCTTATTTAGCATTAGGCCTATTCAAATTCAAATATAATGCACTACATTAGCCTACATGGATGGCCTATTCATACAAAATAGTGACCACCTTATGCTAAACCATAGACTTTATAAAAATATTTATACAGTCTTTGTGCTACCTGCACTATCCCTTTAAGAATTTTTTAAACTTGCGTTTGCAGCCTGTCTGTGTTTTAGCCTACAGCTCTTTTCACTATACCAACACAATCATTTGGACCAATTTAGTCCTTTTCCGTCTGGCTTCCTGCTTTAAACTGCTCTGAGACAGGAGCTGCCATGGAAACGGTCCTTCAGCCCACTGCAGCCTCTCACTGTGGAAATGATAACAATAGGGATTATATGGTTTGGCAGACGTTGCTGTCAAACTGTGTCATACTGTATTTATTACAGGTTTGAGAGGACAAGTGGACAATATAGACAATTAACAGAGTTGTTTTATGCCAATGCTTTGTCTAATTGGCCTGGGTTTTTTCTTGCACACACCATTGAAACAATAATTTAGATAATTTAGCAATAACTTAACCCAGAGACTAGAATAGGATCAAATGTAGTCTACAGTCTCAAATCTCAAATCAAGTGTACATGAGACCCAAATCTCTAGGTCTATAGGTCCAAACTGTATGCACAATAACTATGAAACAAAGTCAAACAAGAGCTCTACTAAATAAGAAATATGTCACACACCGCACATTCATCCTAGGCAAGGTGGGTGAAGTGTCTTGCCTAAGCACAAAGAATTAAAACTATGTTTAAAACCAGAGATAAAT